TATTTAGTTCTGAGGAAACATACATGGTGCATATATCTGAATGACATATTACAGTGCAACAATGTTTTATTATTATTATGATTATGCAATATTCCTGCTTCTTGGCAGGGGGTTGGACTGGATGGCCCATGAGGTCTCTTCCAACTCTTTGATTCTATGATTCTATGATTTATTGTGGTTGCTAAAGTCTTGATTTACTGAGCATTGTATTGACTGTATAAATACTTTATTACTGAAGCTCCATTTATTTTTTTTAAAAGAACAAAGAAATATCAGTTCATAATTGTGTTTCACAATGTTGATGTTATAATAGTATTTCTGGGGGCAGTTGAGAGGTTTTACATGCTTGGTTTTATGGTTTGGGAAGCACCAATTGCATCATATTGTTAACATCACAAAAATCCATGGGAAGGTCCTGCATTTTTGAACACATCTTCATCCCTACATTTTGAACTGAGGATGATTGATGCTTGATATTGCAATTCCATGTCAACACAGGACTTCACACTCCCTAGCTCAGGGGTCCTCAAACTTTTTAAACAGAGGTCACAATCCCTCAAAGTGTTGGAGGGCCGGATTATAATTAGAAAAAAAACATGAATGAGTTCCTATGAACACTGCACATATCTTATTTATAGTGCAAAAAACCCACTTAAAAACAATACAATAATTAAAATGAAGAACAATTTTAACAAATATTAACTAATTCGTATTTCAATGGGAAGTGTGGGTCTGCTTTTGGCTGATGAGATAGGATTGCTGTTGTGTGCTTTTAAGTCGTTTCAGACTTAGATTGACCCTGAGTGAGGGCCGTATTCGGCCCCCAGGCCTTAGTTTGAGGACCCCTGCTCTAGCTGCTCAAACTCGACCACTTAACCCTCCATAATGCACCCTTTTTCAATTGTTTTTAAAATACCCCACTTTCTTCTTCTCCCATTTCACCCTTTGTTCTCATCTTACTTCTATTACTTCAAACTGAATTCCAAGGCAAATTTACTTTCCACTCCAAGAACTTGGCAAAGAATTGGAGGCAGAATCTAACCTTTGTCCTTGGGCTCAGGCCAAAGCAAACTGCTGCAGCCTCCCCTAGTTTGTGTGTTTTTCCATATTAATGGCTCTTGCCATCTTGATCACATCGCTGTTGCTTGACCACATGAGTCCCATTTTAATTTGTGAAACGTTGGAGGCTTAAACATTTCTGTTTTCTGTCTCCGGCTTGGAAATCCAAAAAGGGCAAGAGCTCCACATCTGTTCATTTAGGAATGAATAAGGAAAACAACTTGAATTCCGTGATGGGGTGAACCTACACTAGTGTTTCTCAACCTGGGGGTTGGGATCCCTGGGGGGTTCATGAAGGGGTGCCAGAGGGGTCAGCAAAGACCATTAGAAAACACAGTATATTCTGTTGATTATAGGGGTTCTGTGTGGGAAGTTTGGCCCAATTATCTTGTTGGTGGGGTGCAGAATGCTAATAGAGTGTAGGTGAACTATAAATCACAGCAACTACAACTCCCAAATGTCAAGGTCTATTTTCCCCAAACTCCACCAGTGTTCGCATTTGGGCATACTGAGTATTCGTGCCAACTTTGGTCCAGATTCATCATTGTTTGAGTCCACAGTGCTCTGGATATTGGTGAACTACAACTCCAAAATAGAAGGTCAATGTCCACCAGTGTTTTCTGTTGGTTATGGGAGTTCTGTGTGCCAAGTTTGGTTCAATGCCATCATTAGTGAAGTTCAGAATGCTTTTTGATTATAGGTTAACTATAAATCCCAGCAACTACAATTCCCAAATTCCCAATCTCCCCGCAACCCCACCAGTTTTCAAATTTGGGCATATTGGATATTTGTGCCAAATTTTGTACAATGATGCATGCCAGATATTTACATTAGGATTCAAAACAGTAACAAAATTACAGTTATGAAGTAGCAATGAAAATAATGTTATGGTTGGGGGTCACTACAACATGAGAAACTTTATTAAGAGGTGGCAGCATTAGGAAGGTTGAGAACCACTGGTCTACACTATAGAATCATGGGAGCTTTACTTTGGCGAGTCAATGACACTCTTTGCAGAGAAGGCTATAAACTTGGTAAATCTACAACTCCCAGGATCCCATATCATTGAACCATGGCTGTTAATGCAGTGTCAAACTGCATTAATTCTACAATGCAGATCTACCTTAGGATCACAGGAGCATATCTTGAGCTACAAGTTGACAGATAAATAGAAGAAACCCATAACTTTTATATCAGTGTCCTAATATTGACAAGCTGGAATGTGTCCAGAGGAGGGCGACTAAAATGATCAAGGGTCTGGAGAACAAGCCCTATGAGGAGCGGCGTAAGGAGCTGGGCATGTTTAGCCTGAAGAAGAGAAGGCTGAGAGGAGATATGATAGCCATGTATAAATATGTGAAAGGAAGCCACAGGGAGGAGGGAGAAAGCTTGTTTTCTGCTTCCTTGGAGACTAGGACGCGGAACAATGGCTTCAAACTACAAGAGAGGAGATTCCATCTGAACATGAGGAAGAACTTCCTGACTGTGAGAGCCGTTCAGCAGTGGAACTCTCTGCCCTGGAGTGTGGTGGAGGCTCCTTCTTTGGAAGCTTTTAAACAGAGGCTGGATGGCCATCTGTCAGGGGTGATCTGAATGCAATATTCCTGCTTCTTGGCAAGGTGTTGGACTGGATGGCCCATGAGGTCTCTTCCAACTCTTTGATTCTATGATTCTATGAAACTACTTTTTTGGTTGTTTGTTTGGAAATGAATGCTGGGATCACAACACACAATTCCCTGGGAATAATTCCCTCATATTTAATGGCATTCACTTTTTTGAACTGCCATGGATTGGATTGCATTATAGAACTGCAACAGTACACATGTGCCATTCGGTTTAATGAGTCCTAAGTTACTTCCACACAGCTGAATAAAATCCCACATTATCTGCTTTGAACTGGAATGTATGACAGTGTGGACTCAGGGCCCCTCCACACTGCCATACAGCCCAGAATAGCAAGGCAGAAAATCCCACAATATCTGCTTTGGACTGGGTTATCTGACTTGGGGAGATGGTGGCGGGGTATAAATAAAGTTTATTATTATTATTATTATTATTGACACAAAAGCACAGTATGTCACAGCAAACGAGATCTATATGCTGGATTTCATATCGCAAAATCACAAGTCGAACACTTCCCAAGCGTCTAGGACTGTGTGATGTATTTTCGAATGATATGTGCAGATCCAAGCAAGGTGGCCTTTTGCAGTTGACAGATTGTGATTTTGTCGATGATTATTGTTTCCAAATGCCAGCTGAGATCTTTAGCCACGGCACCCAGTGCGCCAATGACCACTGGGACCACCTGTACTGGTTTATGCCAGAGCCTTTGCCATTCGATTTTGAGGTCTTGATAGCGGCTGAGTTTTTCCTGTTGTTTTTCCTCAATGCAACTGTCACCTGGTATTGCGATATCAATAATCCAAACTTTTTTTCTTTTCCACAATTGTGATGTCTGGTGTATTGTGTTCCAAAACATCATCATCATCATCATCATCATCATCATCATCATCATCATCATCTTCATGTGGGGTTTTCTGCCTTGATATTCTGGGATATAGGGCTGTGTGGAAGGGCCCTCAAATAACCCAGTTCAAAGCAAATATTGTGGGATTTTCTGCCTTGGTATTCTGGGATATAGGGCTGTGTGGAAGGGCCCTCAAATACACAGTTCAAAGTAGATATTGTGGGATTTTCTGCCTTGATATTCTGGGATATAGGGCTGTGTGGAAGGGCCCTTACTTCTATTTATATATAGATAATACAGGCACCGCCATATTATGCAAGCAGATAATCCACATTATCTGCTTTGAACTGGATTATCTGATTTGGGGAGATGGTGGTGAGGTATAAATAAAGTTGTTATTATTATTATTATTATTATGTGGGATTTTCTGCCTTGATATTCTGGGATATAGGGCTGTGTGGAAGGGCCCTCAAATAACCCAGTTCAAAGCAGATATTGTGGGATTTTCTGCCTTGATATTCTGGGCTGTATGGTTGTGTGGAAGGGCCCTTACTTCTATTTAAAAAAGGTAAAGGTAGTCCCCTGACATGAAGTCCAGTCATGTCTGACTCTGGGGTGTGGTGCTCATCTCCATTTCTAAGCCGAAGAGCCGGCATTGTCCGCAGACACCTCCACGGTCATGTGGCCGGCATGACTGCATGGAGTGCCGTTACCTTCCCGCCGGAGCGGTACCTATTGATCTACTCACATTTGCATGTTTTCGAACTGCTAGGTTGGCAGAAGCTAGGGCTGACAACGGAAGCTCACGCCGCTCCCCGGAATCGAACCTGCGACCTTTCGATCAACAAGCTCAGCAGCTCAGTGCTTTAACCCATTGCGCTACCGGGGACTCCTTTACTTCTATTTATATATAGATCATACAGGCACCTTCTATGCTGCCATATTATCCAAGCAGATAATCCACATTATCTGCTTTGAACTGGATTATATGAGTCTACACAGTCTTTCCCTTTCCCTCAGATAGATAGATATTGATAAGAAAGGGTTTCCACCAAGAATGCATCCAATAATGTGTGTTTTCAATGTATTTTTTTAAAAATAGAATAAAATAAAATGTTGTACTATTTCATTTCCAAAGGTGATCCCAGGCATTATCTATAAGGTTATAAAATACTATACCAAGTTGTTTTTATTGAAGCTATACCTCTCTCCCAAAGTGAGATCCATTACGATATTAAGGCAATGTCCAGTGTCCTCCAGCCGCCGAGATCTCTATTGAGAAGCTTTGCACAACTGACTCTAAATCTATCCCAAGGAAATGGGCACTTCCGCCCATTCGAAAGATGTCCGCGCAGGCAACCGAATTCTCAGCCAGCCACCAATCAGCGGACGTATTCGGAGTTCTTCTTCCCGCCCCACATTCTTTCTTAACTTGACTGACAGGTACATAGAATGGAAGAAAAAAAAAGGAGTGGTTCCCATGGAGACCACGGCGTTCTCTCCTCCTGCCGGCCTTTTGCCAGGACCCGAATGCCTAGCCAGTGTACGGAATGCGCCGAGGAACAAAAAAGTGCTGGCTGGGCAGGTGGGAGATGAAACGCGGCTTTCTACCAAGATGGCAGGGCTCGGTCCCGAGCAGGAAGAGGGCTCGATGGAGGGGCAGGTGAGGGACTCCTAGCCCCCAATTGCAACAAGTGGGGTAGCTCTGGGTCGGGAGGGGAATTGTGAGCATCCTTTTAAGGCTCTTGAATTTTCCCCCTTGTCCTGTATTGGGATCCATAAGGCAGATTGACACCACCTTAACTGCCATGGCTCAATGCAATGGGTTTGTAGGAGTTATAGTTTCACAAGGTCTTGGGCCTTCTCTGCCAACGCGTGCAAACTACAAATCCCAGGATTCCATAGCATAAGCCATGGCAGTTAAAGTGGTGTCAAACTGCATTAATTCTGCAGTGTAGATGCAACCCCAGTATTTATTTATTTATTATTTTATTATTATTTGTATCCCTTTGCAATACATTCAGCTGGTTTCATAAGGGAAAAGTGTCTCCACTGAAGCTTCATCATCAATCCTTGTTTCCAAATTTTTCAAAATCCAATTATCAGGGACAGAAAGCAAGGTGAAATCTTCTGAATGGGGGAACAAACAGCAAAACTAACACTATGGGGATGTTAACCCTTCCCTAGGCTATCCAAAGTTATCTGTCAATATGTGTGTGAGTGTGTGTTTGGTTGAACTTGAAACTTTCAAAACTTTATCCATCCCTACTTACATACAAATTCAACATAAGAACAAACCTACAGAGCCTGTCTCTTTCGTAATTTAAGGACTGCCTGTACTTAACATTTTTTTCCATATTGCCAAGCCTAAATAAAACTCTAACTGAATCATAGAATCATAGAATCAAAGAGTTGGAAGAGACCTCATGGGCCATCCAGTCCAACCCCCTGCCAAGAAGCAGGAATATTGCATTCAAATCACCCCTGACAAATGGCCATCCAGCCTCTGCTTAAAAGCTTCCAAAGAAGGAGCCTCCACCACACTCCGGGGCAGAGAGTTCCACTGCTGAACGGCTCTCACAGTCAGGAAGTTCTTCCTAATGTTCAGATTGAATCTCCTCTCTTGTAGTTTGAAGCCATTGTTCCGCGTCCTAGTCTCCAAGGAAGCAGAAAACAAGCTTGCTCCCTCCTCCCTGTGACTTCCTCTCACATATTTATACATGCTATCATATCTCCTCTCAGCCTTCTCTTCTTCAGGCTAAACATGCCCAGCTCCTTAAGCCGCTCCTCATAGGGCTTGTTCTCCAGACCCTTGATCATTTTAGTCACCCTCCTCTGGACACATTCCAACTTGTCAATATCTCTCTTGAATTGTGGTGCCCATAATTGGACACAATATTCCAAGTGTGGTCTAACCAAAGCGGAATAGAGGGGTAGCGTTACTTCCCTAGATCTAGACACTATGCTCCTATTGATGCAGGCCAAATCCCATTGGCTTTTTTTGCCGCCACATCACATTGTTGGCTCATGTTTAACTTGTTGTCCACGAGGACTCCAAGATCTTTTTCACACGTACTGCTCTCGAGCCAGGCGTCCCCCATTCTGTATCTTTGCATTTCATTTTTTCTGCCAAAGTGGGGTATCTTGCATTTGTCACTGTTGAACTTCATTTTGTTAGTTTTGGCCATCTCTCTAATCTGTCAAGATCGTTTTGAATCCTGCTCCTGTCCTCTGGAGTATTGGCTATCCCTCCCAATTTGGTGTCGTCTGCAAACTTGATGATCATGCCTTATAGCCCTTCATCTAAGTCATTAATAAAGATGTTGAACAGGACCGGGCCCAGGACGGAACCCTGCGGCACTCCACTTGTCACTTCTTTCCAAGATGAAGAGGAAGCATTAGTGAGCACTCTCTGTGTTCGTCCACTTAACCAATTACAGATCCACCTCACTGTAGTTTTGCCTAGCCCACATTGGACTAGTTTCCTTGCCAGAAGGTCATGGGGGACCTTGTCGAAGGCCTTACTGAAATCCAGGTACGCTACATCCACGGCATTCCCCGCATCTACCCAGCTTGTAGCTCTATCGAAGAAAGAGATCAGATTACTCTGGCATGACTTGTTTTTGATAAATCCATGTTGACTATTAGCGATGACTGCATTTGTTTCTAAGTGTTTGCAGACCGCTTCCTTAACAATCTTTTCCAGAATCTTGCCCGGTATCGACGTGAGGCTGACCGGACGGTAGTTGTTTGGGTCATCCTTTTTTCCCTTCTTGAAGATTGGGACCACATTGGCCCTCCTCCAATCTGCTGGAACTTCTCACGTTCTCCAAGAACTCTCAAAGATGGTTGCCAATGGTTCCGAAATGACTTCCGCTAGTTCCTTCAATACTCTGGGGTGTAGTTGATCTGGCCCTGGGGACTTGAACTCATTAAGAGCGGCCAGGTATTCCTGGACGACTTCTTTCCCAATTTGGGGTTGGATGTCCTCCAATCCCTCATCCACTCCATCTTGCTGAGGTTGAAGACTCTCTTTTTGTGAGAAGACCGAGGCAAAGAAGGCATTAAGTAGTTCTGCCTTTTCCCTATCCTCTGTCAGCATTGCCCCATCTTCTCCTCGAAGAGGTCCTATCGCCTCCTTGTTTTTCCTTTTTCTACTGACATAAGAATAGAAGCCCTTTTTATTGTTTTTAATGTCCCTGGCAAGTCTGAGCTCGTTTTTTGCTTTAGCCTTGAGGACCTTTTCCCTACAGGTGTTGGCTATTTGTTTGAATTCTTCTTTGGTGATTTCTCCCTTTTTCCACTTCTTGTGCATGTCTCTTTTGTGTCTTAGCACAGTTAGAAGTTCTTTGGACATCCATTCTGGCTTCTTTGCACTTGTCCTATTTTTTCTCTTTGTTGGCACGGTTTGCAATTGCACCTTGATATTTGTTGTTGGAGATTGTGTGTGCCTTCAAGTAATTTCTGGCATATGGAGAATGTCAGAAATTTATTCAAAATGTGTTTCCCTGTGGTTCCTTTTACACTGCCATAGAAAATCCAGATTATCTGCTTTGTACTGGATTATATGGCAGTGTAAAATGACCCTTTGTCTTCCTCTGAGGCTGAGAGTGTGTGACTTGCCCAGGGTTACTCTGGGTTTCCGTGGGTGAGCAGGGTTTCAAACTCTGTGGCTTTTTTTGACACAGAGATACCACATTGAGGACAATGCCCTCCATCTCTACTGAGGATCACTGAAGATTAAAGCTATGCCTAGTTCCCAAATATCTGAAAACCACAAGTATGGGTTTCAGATGAGGTATACAATACTAGATACATAAAAGGAAGGACATTTAGCAATGTGAAATTTTCTCCTACTCCAGTGTTTCCCAGCCTTTTTTTGACCAGGGACTACTTTGACCAGAGACCAGTCTCCAACATTAGTACCAAAAGGATTATGAATCAGTTTTTTTATTAACTTTAGATTTGGTTTGGTTTTTGGGGTGCTGATTCAGAAAACTGCATTGGATAGAGTGATGTCTTGAATAAGGAAATTATTAAAAGATTATACGTTGAGGTCTTCAAGAAGCAAAGACCACCAGCATTGAAGCGGTCCTCTGCCATCAACTCCGCTGGACTGGCCATGTTGTCCAGATGCCCGACCACCCTCTCCCAAAGCAGTTGCTCTACTCTGAACTCAAGAATGGAAAATGGAATGTTGGAGGACAGGAAAGAGATTTAAAGATGGGCTCAAAGCCAACCTTAAAAACTCTGGCATAGACACTGAGAACTGGGAAGCCCTGGCCCTTGAGCACTCCAGCTGGAGGTCAGCTGTGACCAGCACTACTGTAGAATTTGAAGAGACATGAATGGAAGGTGAAAGAGAGAAATGTGCCAAGAGGAAGGCGCATCAAATCAACCCTGACCGGGATCGCCTTCCAGCTGGAAACCGATGCCCTCACTGTGGGAGAAGATGCAAATCAAGAAAAGGGCTCCACAGTCACCTGGCCTCGGAGGGAGAGAGCGGGTGGAAACCCCTGCGGGCAACGCGCCTCCTCGCCGCTTCGGCCCCGGCCGCTAGTGCCGAGCCTCAAGGCATTGTGGGAGTTGAAGTCCACCACACCTGGAGAGCCATAGGTTCCCGACCGCTGCTCTGGGGTGTAGTTGATCTGGCCCTGGGGACTTGAACTCATTAAGAGCGGCCAGGTATTCCTGGACGACTTCTTTCCCAATTTGGGGTTGGATGTCCTCAATCCCTCATCCACTCCATCTTGCTGAGGTTGAAGACTCTCTTTTTGTGAGAAGACCGAGGCAAAGAAGGCATTAAGTAGTTCTGCCTTTTCCCTATCCCCTGTCAGCATTGCCCCATCTTCTCCTCGAAGAGGCCCTATCGCCTCCTTGTTTTTCCTTTTTCTACTGACATAAGAAAATAAGCCCTTTTTATTGTTTTTAATGTCCCTGGCAAGCCTGAGCTCGTTTTTTGCTTTAGCCTTGCGGACCTTTTCCCTACAGGTGTTGGCTATTTGTTTGAATTCTTCTTTGGTGATTTCTCCCTTTTTCCACTTCTTGTGCATGTCTCTTTTGTGTCTTAGCACAGTTAGAAGTTCTTTGGACATCCATCTCTGGCTTCTTTGCACTTGTCCTATTTTTTCTCTTTGTTGGCACGGTTTGCAATTGCGCCTTGAGTATTTCCCTCTTGAGAAATTCCCATCCATCCGTAACTCCCTTGTCTTTTAGTATCTGTGTCCACGGAATGCTGCTCAGCGTTTCCTTCATTTTTTGGAAATCAGCTCTCCTAAAGTCCAAAATGCGGGTTTGACTTGTCTTAGTTTCAGCCTTCCTTTGTACCTCAAATTGCAGGAGCACATGGTCACTTGCCCCTAAGGATCCTACCACTTCGACCGCATCGATCAGGTCCTCCGCATTTGTTAGGATGAGATCAAGAGTAGCCAATCCCCTTGTTGATCTCATCCTAACAAATGCGGAGGACCTGATCGATGCGGTCGAAGTGGTAGGATCCTTAGGGGGAAGTGACCATGTGCTCCTGCAATTTGAGGTACAAAGGAAGGCCGAAATGTTGTGTCTCTTTTCTTTATGATCTTCCCTTCACCTATATGTCAAGCAGATAACACAATACACACTTAGATTCTGTTTAGACATAAAACATACATACATACGTCCATA